GGTTTAGAAGCACTTGAATTGTTTAGTCAAAACTTTTAAAAGCATTTCAGTCCTAACCTTGCAAGGTTAGAAAATGAGCCTCAGTTATGATCATTCACTTGAACCACCAGAAGAAATAGAACGAGATAATAGCTCAAATGAACATAATGAGAAAGTTGAGAAGATTCCAAGATATAAAGGGTCGTTTGTTATTTTCATTGGTAAAAGCATGGTGATTAATTACCTTAACGTCTATATCTATATGGTTAGTTTAGTAGCATGTTTATTGTCTCTATGACGTTGAGCATGTGATTGTCTGTATATTGTTTGCTTACCATTGAAGAAGGTATCTGAACGAAACAAGATACAACACCAAAAACACTAAGCTCCCCCAATTATTATATCAAATACATTTTAAAAATCTCCAAACTTCACTACATTGAGACATAACATTAATTTTAGAATCTAAATAACAAGTAGGGGTATATCGTGTCTTTAGAATCTAAGTACCGCATGACTTATATCCCGCCCGTAGGGCGGGTTTACCCTAGTTTATAATAATGTGTAGATTCTGATTTCTACTTATTTTAGATTTATAGTAATGCGTAGATTCAATTTTCTACTGATTTTAGATGGACATTTTAAGTGTGAAATGTGTATTCTAAATATTTTTAGAATACTTCTATTTACGTAGATCACGTATTCTAAACATAGTAGATTGAATGAAAAAAGTTGATTTCATTTTCTAGTTTGTAGAATGTCAGTTCTACTTTATGTACAACATAATTTTAAAAAATGATTTATATATTTTTAGAACTTGAAAAAAATACCACTAAATTGATATATGTGTTTCATAACTAATTACTATTTTCTGAATTTTTTTTTTGTAAAACTATTTATTTAATTTATTATCAAACATACTAAAGGGCATTAGAGGAAAAAATGGTACAAAATAAAAATTAGTGTAAAAGGACAATGTTACCATTTTTGGTCAAAAAAAACAATTTTCCCAATAAATTAACTGGATTTTCTCTTCAAATTTTTTTGTAAAATATATATATTCCTAAGAGACGCAAAGAAAAATTTGATGTGTCACGGCGAAACTTGGAGAAGCCAGTCAACCACATAAAGCCTATCTCACCCTCTTTGTTATACCACGAAGCAACGGTTTAAACCAACCCTTCACTCTCTCTCTCTCTCTCTCTCTCTCTCTCGTACCAGAAGAAAGATAAAATGGCAGTTCATATTCACAACCCTAACTTTTTGCACACTCATCAACTCGGATCATCTCTTAGATCGGCCTCTGCGTCACCTGCTACACACCACTTCACCAGATTTACTCCTGCAAAGCATCCCGGATTCATCTGCAAGTCCAATAACAAAGATGTAAATTCGTAATCAAATCAGTAAGGAAAACATTGAGCACTAACTGGTTTCTTAACAGGACTACCTTATTGATGCTCCGGTGTCTGCTGGAGATGGATTCTCTTTCAGTGGAGGTTTTACCATTTTCTTTCATTTCTGAGATTAATTGCATGGAAAAGAAAAGAAAAATAGTTAATCGTGGTTTCTTCATGGCAGGGAAGTATTCGGATCAACCGAGTCCGTCAGATGAATGGTTAAAGCAAGGCAAATGGGTAGAGAAAAAAAATGATTCCTCATTACCAATTTTAACACATAGCGCTGATTGTGACTGTTATCAGGTTAAAGCTCACAGAGTTGGTGGATCTGGTGAAGAGGCGAAAGACCCCATTTTCGGACTAACAATGGGATCTAGCTCTCAAGCTTCCAAAGATGTTTTCAGGTAGATTCCAAACTTGTCTGTCTCTTATCTTGCAGTAGGACTTCTTTATGATTATTGTTTCCATAGGTGGTTTTGTGTAGAATCTGGGCAGGTCGACAGTCCTCCTGTTATACTCATCCATGGATTCCCATCCCAGGTAGTAAATAATATAATATCCGTTGTTGATCGCGAATAATTTGCAGATTTTGAGCATGTCTTTGTGACTAGGCTTACTCTTACCGGAAAGCTCTTCCCGTCCTTTCAAAGAACTACCGTGCCATTGCTTTTGATTGGTTAGGATTTGGATTTTCTGACAAGCCTCAGGCTGGATATGGATTCAACTATACATTAGACGGTAACTTGTTGTCTTAAACTCTCCCCCGAATTTTGCTTGATAACTTTTCACATATTTTATCACAATAATCTGCGGCTTTGCAGAGTATGTTTCGTCGCTTGAATCATTCATTGATGAAGTTACTACTACTACTACTACTCAGGTCTCACTGGTTGTGCAGGTAAGTATCCTCACTTAATTAATGGAGCAATATTTCAGATATGTTCAGCGTTAACTTCTTTCATCAGGGATACTTCTCAACTGCTGCGGTTAAATACGCAAGAAACCGACCAGAGAAGATCAAGAATCTCATACTCTTGAATCCTCCTGTAAGGAAGGAAGCAATTGAAACGTACCACTTTCTTCTCCGCTTTCAAACTAACTTAGAGCCTGTGTTTGTTGCGGTTGCAGCTCACTCCCGAACATGCTAAACTTCCCTCAACCTTGTCTGTATTCAGCAACTTTTTGCTCGGGGAGATTTTCTCTCAGGTTGGTTTCCATCAAAAAGTTGCTTCTTACTGTTTGCGCTCATATGAGAAATAAAATCCTGGCTTATCTATAAAACCAATAGGATCCTCTAAGAGCAAGTGACAAGCCTTTGACGAGCTGTGGTCCTTACAAAATGAAAGAAGATGATGCAATGGTTTACCGAAGACCTTATCTTACCTCAGGTTCTTCTGGTTTTGCCCTTAACGCCATCAGCAGGGCCATGAAAAAGGAGCTTAAGGTTCCTTACCAAAAAAAAATCTAGGTTTGATGATATCTAGAGGAAGATTAGAATGTTCTTATGGATTTTCCCTGACAGGGCTATACAGAAGAAATGAGGACCTCACTGATGGATAAAGACTGGAAAATCCCAACCACCGTGTGCTGGGGACAGCGAGACAAGTGGCTTAGCTATGAAGGGGTTGAAGAGTTTTGCAAGAGTTCGGGACATAATCTCGTTGAACTTCCAATGGTTGGTGCAAACTGTTTTCTTGTACTCATGAGACATCATATATATAAACAACAAAGCTAACATCAACTGATTTTGATCTTATTAGGCTGGTCATCATGTACAAGAGGATTGCGGAGAGGAGATTGGGGGAATAATTTCAAGAATCATAAGCAAATCTGCTCTTATCTAACTAGAGCGACGACTCCGCAAGAAGATGGAGAAAACGCAAAGAGTCATGAACAACCTATTTGTAAAAATAATTTTTATCTCCCAGCCTTGTGTATGTCCAGTGGTACATATATAAGTCACTAGTAAGATTTTTGTGCTAAACTTTGAGGCTCTATAACTTGGAAGATAGAAGAAGTATTGGTAAATTACATGTATACCTCCATTAATTGGTTAACTGCATCGATAATAAAGATCTTAAGCTGTCATCTCTCCTTGTCTCTTGCCTTTATATGGATTGTATAACTTTGTCCAAAACAAGCAGTCTTCTTCTATGGTTGGAATTGGTCTATCCAGCACTCATCGTTCTTGACAGCATTTCTCCATCTGTGTTTAAAAGTCTCCAGTTCGGCATAAGTCTGCTTCCGAACCTAAGTAATAACATTTTTTTTTTGTGAAGAGAGATACAAAACTGCTAATATCATATTTTCAAATACATGACTGGTTGGAAGTCTACCTCAGATCTAGCTGATGACATTTGAGAAGTTGATGATGGTTTCTGCATGACAACAGTTATTAGATTATAACTAGATATCTATTGAGAGAGCAAATTAAAAGAGATGAATAGCATACAGATTTGTCTGCACTATCCTCAGTCTTGGTCTTATCAAGTGGTTCCGAATACATCTGCTTATATGCATTAAGTAGTATGGTTACATTCCAAAAATAATGAAGGCTAGGCTAGAGGATTGGCAAGAGAAGCAGTATCAAACCATATTTTCTGTTGAACCTCCTAATGTAGGAAGACCAAGATGAAGTATATACTCGGAATCAACAATGCCGATGTTTTTAGTTCGATCACCCTATTCAATGCAACAACACAGTACTCAGAAAAAAAAAAAAAAAAAAAAACGAAAAACAACACAGGATGTATTGGCAATAGCTTAGTCATAATTTACCTGTGCACAATATCCAAGCTGAAAGTCTATACCCCATCCATGGTTTAAGTCATTCTGTAAAAGAATCAAACAGTATTCAAGTATACAGATGGTAAGGGTCTTCAATGTCTGTGACATCATAAATCCAACTAAATGCAATACCTGAATCATATGCCATGCACACCTCCAGGCTGCTCTGGAGAACACTGGAGCCATCATTTCGACAAATCTGTTTGTACATAGTCTCTTAATGAGTTAAATTTATCTGGTTATGCTTTTCACTTAAGGAGACAAAATAGTCAGTATTCTTACCCCGTGCAAGGAGGTCCAGTGCTATTCTCGTTGCACCTAGCCTTACCAATGACTTTGTATGTTCTCCTGGAACACATCCAAATATTACAATAATATTACATTAAATCATTGTTCGAATCCATTTCTAGAAATATTGGAACATGAGATAGGTACCTATGTACTCTCGATTTGTTGTTTCGTGAAGTAAGATGATGATGCACTTCAGACAAATTAGGATCAAGAGCCGGTTGTGATATTTCAAGCCCTTCTTCTTTAATTATTGAAACATACCTGATGATAACAAAAATACTCGAGTTTCACATGTTTTATCAAATTACACACAAATAGTGCCCCTTTGTCTGGCAATTTTACCTTTTAGCATCAAAATGGTCAACACCGAGATCTTCATCCCACAGAAATATGTAAGAATATGCTGAGACAATATCCGGGTGTAGAAAACGCTTTGCAAACCACCTAACACGAATGAAAAAAAAAAAAACTGTACAGCCAAATGGTATAACATCAGTTTTATGAGTCAGAAAAGACAGTTACCACTTGGTTTGGTTTACAACAGAAACATGAATAGCAGTTTCACTCCACGTAAACTCATTCCATTCATTCACGGCGCCATCATAATGAAACAGCATCACAACGAACTCACTTGATGAGAACTGCAACAAAGAAGGTGGAATAAGAAAAACAGATACCACAACCAAGAGGCGATGTCCCTTGTCTACCTTCTTGACAATCTTGTTGACACTTTCCTTCTGTTTTATTCCTGCTGCCATAGCCAATAAGTGCTGTTTTGGGTTCTGGCCCCAAAAAAAAAAAAAAAAAAAACCAGATAATGTAGTGTTAATGAATGTTTAAAGAAAAACTTGAAAATATCTGGTAACGGGTAAACACCTTATTGCGCTTTGCTCCCCATAAGGGTCGCATTTCCAAGTCAGATGTACTTGCAACAATGCCTCTTGGTAGCGTCTCGCTTCCCAGAGGCCTCAACTGTGTCTAATTAAACAAAGTTACTTAGGATGGAATGTGTCATCAATATTCAGACAGGCAAGGAACTTGTTTATGTGCATAAACACTTTCAACGAAACCAAACCTTGCACATCTTCAGTTTTCCAAGATTTAGTCTAATTATCGAACTCCATCCCGAGATACCGCCCTGTCAATAAATTATAACCAAAACCGTTTATAATTAAAATTTAAGATATACTAAAAATTTGAATTCTATTGTTACAGAAGAAAGTTATACTTGTTTATAGTCGACTGTTATAAACGCATTCCCTATGAGGAAAATTACTGCAAGAAAGAACACAAAAGTGAACAAGCGACGAAGAGACGACCTCTTTCTTTTCTGGTTCATATTTAGTGATACCTGAATAAAAAACAGCAAACAGAAGACTCAACAACACACTAAACTCACAATTGACAATAGTGTAAAATTGAATGATCTCATTTATCAACAATGCCACAATATTAAGATCCTGCATCTATCACTGATCGACATTGCAGAGCTTAGGATGAGAGAAATAGATCAAATAAGCACAAACCCACTGGAGCGAAAACACTATCTACAGAAAGAAGACTTGAAATTCAATGATTTTGGAAGCTTCATATCATCAAATCTTGGCCGACAATTTCAATTGGATCAAGCTAGATGAAGTTACACAACTTTTTCTCTCATTTGTTTTTGCAAATCCGTTGAAACCTCGAAATGGCGAGACGTGAACAAGAAAAGAAAAGAACCAACTATATGGAACAGAAGTAGAAGAAGAAGCTACACAAAGAAGAGCATTAAAAAAAAAAAAAGCTTACGGAGCTCAAAGTCTTGGGTTTCTTGTTCATCCTTCAACAACAGTCAACAGTGGTTGGCCATTAGAGAGGACGAGGAATCCCAAAAGCTTTTTCTTTAATTAAATCAAATCAAATAAATGTGAGTCATAGTGTTAGAATACTTTTTTGGTTAAAAAGACACTAAAATTAATTGCGATCCGTCAAGTTTGGTTCTGTATTGTTTCAGTAAAGTACCACTTTAATTCCGTAAAGTCAGCTTCGAATAAGAAAAACTGGGAATGGAAGCAATCACTACACTGTAAGATGGTCAATGAGAACGTTTTAAACAAAAAAATGTGATATTTTATTAACAATTGAATGGCGCACAACTTGCAAAAGGTAAAGCCTGCGTGTAAGGTATCATCGCCGAAAATCACTGACCAAAGATATTTATTGGCGGATTGTTTTTCTATGCATTCCTCTTCCCTTCAATGTAACGCACACTTCATTGCAATGTTCATGTGACTAGTGATTTTTTTTATCTCATTTATCAATTTATATTCAATATTGGGCATAAAAGACATACTAAACATCAGTTAGTGTCCGCTGATGCATCTGAATGAAATAAACTCATTCTCGTTAATTCAAGTAAACATTAAAATTTAACTTCATATATATATCTACTACTAGGGCCGACACGCCCTACGGACAGAAAGTTATAAAAATAACTATTTATATGATTTTATATTAATCTATACAGTATTTAAAATTATTATATAAAACGATATTATAGACAAAAGAAAGAATGAAAAACAAATTCTGAGATCATACTATTATTGGGACATTTGCTCAAAACAACCTAAAATTTCAAATCAAATGCAAAAATGTACCCCAATTTCAATCAAACGCAAAACCAACCTAAATGGATATGGAAATATCTATTTATCTCTTATGACTAAACAAAAAATCAGAATGCTATTTTACAATTTTATCTTTATGAAATCTACATTTAACAGAGAGAAGTCTACAAGGTGTAGACTTATCATGATGTCAATATTATAGACTTATTATGAAGTCAACATTCTAAGTTAATCCTATAATTTTATTTTTAAAATATATAAAATTTAATTATGTGAAATTTCTTTTAGGTCATCAATATGAGGTATATAAATTAAAATTTCATATAATTAACTAATTTTAACGAATGCATATTGATTAGGTAACAATAATGAAATAGTCATAGTAGATTTCAAAAATGTATATATATTAAGTAGACTTACAATAAAGTCTACTCAAAATTTTTAATTATAGTAGACTTCATAAGAAGTCTATAGTATCGAAATTTTAAACCTAGTTACAATTTTTACCTCCCTATATAAATTAAAGAGAAATTATTTGAAATGACTCTAATTAATCATAAAATGACTAAACTAACTCATATAATTTGGAAATAACTAGAATGACTTCTGAAACATGTAAACTTACGATTTTGCCATTATTAATAGTTAATCTTTAATGAAAAATATATGTTTAATATTATAAGAAAAGGAAGAAAAAAAATCAGAATTACCTTTGTAGGGTTNAAGAGAAATTATTTGAAATGACTCTAATTAATCATAAAATGACTAAACTAACTCATATAATTTGGAAATAACTAGAATGACTTCTGAAACATGTAAACTTACGATTTTGCCATTATTAATAGTTAATCTTTAATGAAAAATATATGTTTAATATTATAAGAAAAGGAAGAAAAAAAATCAGAATTACCTTTGTAGGGTTTCTTCACCGACTTGGTCGTTCTCCTCGCCGTCTCCATCACATCCATCTGCGACGGTCTATTTTTTCTCTCACAACTGGCTTCGTCTCCGTCACCTCTATCTCCAACAACCACTCCACCGTGAACCGTCGTCGTCTCTGTTGTTCTCCACCCTAATTGAGTTCGTCTATGTCATCGTCGAGGAAGAATAAGTCAGTTTCACCTTGGTCATTCACCCTAAATCGAGTTACTTGAATC